GTGGGACATGAAAGTGATGGAGTGATGTATCGTACAAATAAGGGCGTAGAGACGGTGAGAAAAGGAAAATGATAGGGGCTACATACTTCATGACAAGCACCAGTACCGCTATTATCGAAGCTTAACAATGCAGGGTATCAAACTCATCCTGATCACTGCAATCTTCTCCTTCACCTCCGGCTCTCTCCTTGTCACTCGTCAAACCACAGACACTTGCGACGCCTCCGATGCCTGCATATCATCCTCCGGCTGCACTGGAACATGTGCACCTGTCTCATCCGGTGGAGGACCTGCTGTATGCCAGGATGTATGTATGATAAATGGTGAGGCTGTGAGCATCTTTTGTCCGGCATGTTATGCTGGAGATGCAGAGAGCACGGGGGCAGCATGTGCCATTGATGCTAGTGCAAATTGTGTGCTCAGTGTGTAATTTAGCACAGAACTAAGGAGAACATAGGTGTCGTTGTATAGTGCAAGTGGTGAGTGGTCAATTTTCCATGTACCAATCGAGACTGGATTGAAGCATCATCAATGTTACAGGGGAAGGACGTTCAATACCCTATATATAGCAAACTTGTCTTGTGGAAGAAGAAAGATCTCCAATCTGATTGGTTGTTGTGGCGTTCTTTCTTGCTCATTCTCAACAGATCACCAGACTTGTTCAAGCCAGTTCAACAAAGGTTTTTTTCTTTGGTTGCTTCACGAAGTCTGCACAGGAAAAAAGGACAGGGAAATGGAAGAGAACAAAATTGAATGGACACACTGGGAATTGAACCCAGCACCCCCCGCAAGCTCATAAGTGATGCTAAGCGGATGTGATAACCAACTACACCATGTGCCCTACATTTAATGTTGACGATTAGAATATCCTCAAAGGTAGGACATGCAATCTACGAGCATATTACACCAAGGCTGCCTGTGTGGATAACACTCGGGGTGAATATCTATCTATCTACCCAAGGATAAATTCCTGGTCGAAGCTAATCCTAACTCGGTGACCACTGTGTCTGATCCCCATGACACTGTATCCAGTACCGTTGTGAAACTAGCTACAGGCCGATCAGTGCTATCATTGTGAAAGACAGTTGCAGCATTATCCAATGTTTGACTTTTGTTGAGCACGATGAGCACGATCAATGGGTATATTCCCTAAGTTTGTGGTGAGCCTCACACTCCAAAGACACAGGTAGAACTTTATGTAGTATACTTACAGCAAATTGGAGATTCGTAGGAGCGCACAATTCTCCCAGCGTTCCTAGTGGTAATGAAATGACCGTTGCGACGAGGATAGTTATCTTGAGGAAGAAGGAATTGTTGGCATCAAGTTTGAAACTTGGTTGATTCCAAGTTAAGCACCTACCAGCGAAATGGAATAGATGATCCCAGATTCCACAATGAGTACCAGAACTTTTCTGGCCTTATGTGGCTGCGATCCCGATACGAACATCTTCCGAAGACACCTGCACCCAACCGGGGCCATTCAGTACGAAAGCGGATTCAGAAAATCGTATGCAAAACTGCGCACCAAGCTTTGAAGGAAACGGTCCCTGTGGCTATCAGGTTTGTTATCAGTGACAAACCTAGATTCGAGACTTGTGTTATGTTGATAGCTCGTTCGAGGGAGGCAAGGGCACTCTGTTTCAAGGGTGAAGTGCAAACTGATATAATCCTGATAGCGATCGTGCTCATCTCGCTCACTAGATGATAGGAAGAGCATGAATGGTAGCTTGAGACATTTTCTTGGAGCATAAACTCACGGAACACACAACAGAGGAAGAAAACGCAAGCATCTATTGCGAAACGATGGTCACTCCGACAAAGGGCCCATGCACGCCATACTACTACACCGTCTGCAAGACCGTACTAATGTCTGATGAGTTCAATGGGGCCTTGTATATCCGAGAACAGAGCTCACGTTAACGAGAAAAATCGCATTGAATAGTGGGAAGATATTGATTATGTTGGGTGTCGAAAAGCCAAAGAATAAGGTCTGTATTAGTTGGATTATGTTGGCTATTGAGGCTGCCATATATAGGGTGGTGATGGTATACATGAACGTCGACAGTCCGAGAAGAAGTTTGCGTGAGAGGCTATCAAGCCCGTGTTGACTGAAAAGAAGACGTTAGCTCAAGAATGTGAACGTCAGCTATGAGGATGGAACGTACACCATGATGTAGGTTGAAATAGTGAAGAGTGTAGTATATATGCCTACGATTAAATCGGGACCAAATCAGTAATTCGTACGTAGCAGATGGGACCGAACCGGATTTCACCATAAATAACCATCTCGGGTAGGATTCCAATGATATGACTGGTATGAAAGAATAAAATGGTTCCCAACTCGGCCAACTCGGTAGCATTCAAAGACATAATGGTACCAGCCAACTTCGAGTCCAGCAAGTGAGTGAGGGATGTAGGAAGAGATAGAAATAGCACTCACATTCTTATGGATGTGTAAATAGTCAATACTATTCAGCTGCCTGGCAGCATCAATCGACTAGGATTGTTCGTTTCCAACCGAGATGCGATGGCCCAGGGACAGCCAGGGACAGGCTGAAATACTTTCTATGGCCGAGATTGTGTCGTGGTGACTTCGGTGTTCACAACTTCTCAGCAGAGTTGAGCAACACCCGCACCTTGCCATGCAAGTATTGTTCAGAATCAAAGCATTGCCTTTTGAGAGCTCATTGGGAATCATAATTACTTGTATTCTCGTTGGCCCGCTTTGACTTGTATAGGGATAAATTGCTAGACAAACAGCCAGTCACGTCATTAGATGAAGAAGACAAAGATCACAGAAAATATCCACATGGACAAGGGAGGACAGGGGAGGACAGAGGAACCCTGGGTCGGTCATTGGCACAGCCAGTCACTGTACCGTACAGCTGTGCACAGACCATACAGCCACGTGGCCATGTCACTTATAAAGGACTGGTGTCAACGACTTTTTCTTCGTTGCACTCATGTCAAATTGCAGACCTTCGACTCGTATTATTCCACGATTGGTTTGTGCCAAAGCAGTGCACAAAGGGATTCGGATGTCTTAGTGCTCGATAGTTTTATCACGTTCGTCCCCTGTAAAGGGTGACGAACAGAGCCGGTAGTTCGTACAATCTTCCTATCACATTCTCCTACTATCTTTTCGTTTACAGGCGTTACTGTATGCAGTTATACCTGACTTGTGAAGCAATCAAAGCTGGTATTATTGGGCTTCAATTTTATGCCCCACCTCCCGAATTGACCGTGCACTTCTCGCTGGCGCCCTGATACCTCTGTCGGCCCCAAATTCTCGTGTGTCCATTGCCAACGGTGTTCATTGGATCCCAGCACTAGGGAAATAAGGCGGAATGCGTGTAGGCCTGACAGACTTCTGCCGAACACTTCACTGCTTTAGGGGCAGTGATATTCAAACCATCTGTACCCTCAATGCGTGTTTGAAGCTGGGCATTCGATCAAGAATGTAATTAGCTGCACAGGCGGAATTGAAGGCCGTTCCAGCAGACATGCTGAATTGAATGGAACGTAGGTATCGGAATTCCTTTCTTGATAAGGCGGAAGAAATTCCGCTCCAGTCCAACTCTTTCAAGCACGTTTCGTCACCCGAATTAGGGAGCATAAGCTCGAAGCCAACATCTTCAAGAGAATCAGACGGTATCTGCGACAAGATTTGCGAAACCCAAGGGCTAATCATTGTAGTCACTGCGTCGTCGGGCGTCAATAGTATGTGCTTATACCGAAGCGAGCGCAGGGAGGTGCATTCCTGGAGATCGATGAAGTCACGTAGGGTATCTGAAGAATGGTGAGCGTTTTGTGTGTGGATCATGCAAAGAATTAACACCGACCGCTTTTACTCCTGTTGTCAGCGAACACGGGAAAAGAGACCTGCAGATAGCGTAGGGAAGGAGCAATCTTTCGTAACAGATTGCGCAAGTGGTATACCTCCGACTGAGAAGTTGCATCGTAGTAGAAGCTCCGGATGATCGGAGTAGGATTGTGGGCTCCTAGCCATTCGGCCAAGTCTCTCAGATTTTTTCCGTGCCTCAACTCCAAAATATGCCACTCGACATGAGAGGAGACACGGCCCAAGTTCGAGACTCCTCGTCCATTATGCGTCCAAGTGAGTCGTTTCAACTCGACCCGTTCAAGCATAGGCAACGAGCATACTAAGTCTGCAAATTCCGAAAATCGATAGAAATGCAAGGAGTGCAATTCTAGATTGACGAAGGAATGCAAGTATGACACGAGGCATCGAATAACCTCCTGCGGGACATGCTCGAAGTCCGTATTCGATATGCGCATGCACCTCGCGGCCGGCAACATGGACAATACTCTAGGCATTTTTCGGATAGCACTCTCGATGTCCGAAACACCGGCAACGAAGACCCATCTTGCCAAATCGTTGAACACGACGCGTTGGACGTAAGGAGAGATGGTGTTACAGGTTGATTTGATAATCTTAGTGAGAGAGGTGACCCGCTGGGCGCTAAGCTGAACAGACAATTCGGAGAACAAATGATAGCGAGTAGAAGGTAGAAGAGGGCGACAGAGGCCGCAGGCCAGCAGCGAATGTCGATCGTCGTAGAGGAAGTCTCCAATAGTATCAAAAATTTCCGCGGGAAACATAGTAACGCAAGTTACAAAGACTATCGGGGAACAGGTAGAGTTGGGGTGAGTATTTTAGCGTTTGTTACCAGGCTGGTTAATTATCTGAGGTTCGAATAATCAGGACCTGCTCCCGGGAACCAATGAGCAGGAACGTACATAGCGATTGGTCTCTCAATTAGCCTCAAGCAGGGGGTGAAGGTTGGAGAATCTAGTAGTGAAAAGCACGAGGATTTTTATGCTCGGTTGTGTTGCTGTATACTATGAACGTGATTATGGACGCCACAAATAATTACTCACAGATTACAAGTAGGGAGCACAACTTCAACGGAGAAAATGGTTCCAACTACCTCCTTTCCGTTGTAGACGCGGGACCAGATTCAAATTATATGAAGAAGGAAGCAAGAAATAAAAGCGATGTCCAGGGAAATTTGAATCGGGACGATTGACTGTATAGGGAACAAGAGGATCCTTGAGTTGAGAGACTAGTTCCGGTATGGAATAGCTCTATCTGTCTGCTAATCAGTACTAGTGTGTGATATGATGTTGACTTCGGTTTGGCAAACGGGAAGAAACAGGGTAAGTGAACAGGACACCGACTCGGAGCACCAAGCTCTGAGTATTTGAGATAATTAAATGATCTGGAAGTTATCACCAGATCATTTTCTGTAACTCGAGGAGGTTGAGCTCCTCTTTCGCCGAGCTCTGCTGCCACCCGAGTATCCACTGACCAGCACTACTGGTCGACTGCAGCATTGAGACAATAATGAATAGTATGGGGATCGAAGATTTGCGGTAAGAAAGACTTGCCATCTACAGTGCATCATTGGACAGTACTGAATTATCGGTCTATGCCAACTTTCATTGGCAAAACGACAATCGGCTAGCAGGTTCATGATAACCATACATATCCTTTGTAAGCGTTTTCAAGAAGCATTCATTGGACATATATATGTAAGAACGGGGTTGAAAACATGAGATTCTACTGCATGTATCCTCGGAGAGTCGGACCTCGTTGATGTTATTCTACGGCCGCTTGCTTTTCCTGTGTCCAGCAATTTCCCAGTCATTCCGATTCTTGTCATCCCACTGGATTACTACAATATCGATGAATCCATTGGTGCCAACACCGAACTTACCTGGCGCTACATCGTCAGCGGCGTTAGAAGAAAATGAGTCCATGTGACAAATTTCTGAAGAACTCTTTATCTTCGCATGATACCAAGTCGCGGGACTGAA